TGAACACAGAAAACCATTAAAGTGAGGTTGTTTATTTGCTGGTTTTACTGTCAGATGAACCCGTGTGGGATGCTGGCCTCGGAGTGCTCGTGCTGACAGCTGGATGCTTATGCAGGGAGACGGGTTTCTGTCTGATGGATCACTTTTCTCTCCGGAGAAGTCTGAGCTAATGAAGGCTGCCATACTCCCTCCCTCCCCCCGCGGGTTAATGGATCCAGAGCTCCGGATACAACCCGAGAGTCCGTCCGCCAAATCACATCACTGCCCACATCTCAGGGCAGTTTGACGCAGTACCCAGAGCCCACACTAACTATCTGCTGTCCAGACGCAGATGAGCTGCTGACTGAGTCTGTTTTTTAATTTGGATGGAGAAAAAAATCAGTGAAAGAGCGGAAAATCTATGTGTTGTTGTATGCTTTGGACTCCCTTCCCATAAACAGCCATCGATGGCCGTCTGTGGTCACTGTAGCTGGATTGTTTTTAGAGTAAAAACAACATCACCATCAGGAACAACCCATCGCTTAACATCAATATTATTGTTTTACCGGACGTTCATTGTTTATTAAAAGGAGCGGATTATTTCTACAACAGTGCCTCAGATCCTGATGATTGGTGTGCAGGTTTATAGGTGCGTGTTTTCCCCCCTCCAAGTGTTTGTTCTGGTTTATCTGGCAGAAAACGAATGAGTCAAAACCTGTAATTAAACATGTATTGAGTTCACTTTAATTGTTGTTTTTAACCTGGAGGCTGCATTTGAGTTACAACCTGCCCGGGAGCGCATCGACTGAGACACGATGCGATAAAAGCCACCCCATGCTACCCCGGAGCCCCGCGTGTCCATAACCCCCTCGCGAGAGAAAAGGAGCGAAGAAACAATCAAATGAAACCTGCCTCGCTCTCGGAGGAGTGAAAAGAGAGCAACAATGGGGCCCTAATTTGAAGCCATTGTTTGAATTCCCAGTCGGAGCTGTTGGAGAACAAAGGCAGGCTTGGTCCCCTCGGACTGTCCGGGACATCGCTCTGATCTCCGACTGGTAATTCCCTCCCCGGGTCTCGTTAGGGGTTACAGCAGACGGGTCGGCGGTCTCTTATTCTTCCTCTTGCTCCAACAACAACAAAAAAAAGAATATCGGTGTTTTTTGCAGCCCAAAAGCGACTACATTTCTCCGGTTTTCCGTCGGGCAGACCTCTGCCGCGGCTCGTCGGCTTCCCCTGCTCTCCGTCGACGTTTTGCTCCGCGTGAAGCAGCGTTCTCCCCGCCGTTCCGCGGGGCGCCTTGAAACAGACGCGAGGCAGGAGGAGGGGCCCGCTGAGGGGGGGGGGCGTACAATGGGCGGCTTGAAACCGACTCTGATTTCTTCTTCTTTTATCAAACATTTTTGCAACTGTGTGACAGGCTCACTTCTGAGAAAACTTTGGGATAATAAAACTACGCCATTCCAACTGGTGGTGAGCGTGAAGAAGACCAGTGGGGCCATGTGGGAAGGTTTAAGAACCCCCCCCCCCCCCCCTCCTTCACCCCAAAACACCACCCCCCCAACCATCCCCCCCCCTCCATAACGCCCTCTTCTGAATTTTAACATAATGGTACTAAATGAATTGGCTACGGCACTTTCCTCCTCTTCTTATGCAAATGCCTGCGTGTTTGTCCCCGCAGACTTGGACTCGGAGCGAGGAGACACCCAGCGTGGATTCACCTACAGCCCGCGGTTTGCTCATTAGCATATCGAAAGCGTAGCATTATTCCTCTGTGAGAGATGGGCTTTGAGGAATCAGAAGAGCCACCGTCGCCAAGGTGGCGACAATGACTCTCCCGGGTTGACTGGCGGCAGAAACCACCATGCCACCACCATTTGGCTTTGTGATTGGAAGATTGACTTCCAGTTGGCTTGCATCAGCAAAGTCTTCAACTTCATGTACAGAATACAAGCCCCCTGGTTTATTCGACCGCAATAAAGCAACGTAGTGTTTAGATCAACCCAGACACTTGAAAGGGTCTTCAGAAACGATGGCATCCTTACGTCGATTTATAACTTGTAAGCGATAGATCCCATTTTGCTCCCGCCAGACAGACCGAGACTAATCCGAAGACAAAGTAATACACTAGTTGAGTTATTAATTTACTGTTTCCTGCTGAGTAAACCTTCTACATCTACATTAAAACAAACGGTGCAATAATATATTAAGAGTGTCAACGCCCCCGTGCATTCCTTTTCTCACCCTGCGATCTCTGAGCGCTCATTATAATCAGCCTCGATATGGGAATGGGCTCACAGGCACACACACACACACATCCTTAAAAAAAGAGAGCCCTCTGCTTGTTTTGATCACTCAGTCTTGTAGGGAGAGGGGACCTTGAAACTGCTCAACCTCCTTGCTCCATAATTGGTTTTATAGTGCTGGCGAGCGGCCAGAGTGCGTTTTTTTTTTTAATACACTGGGGACGTTGATTGACACTTGGCGCAGCCAATCAGACGGGACGTGTTTGAAAAGTCCAGGGATGGGTGGTAGTGAAGGAGGTGGGCGGGGCTTGTAAAACAATACTGTGTTTCATTGCTGAGGAGGACGAGTCAGGGGCATTCTCTCCCCCCAGCTATCCCCCAGTTTACCTTCGGACTAGCCTGTAATGGACTACTACAGTTTTCCCAGCAAGCTGGACGGACTTTAAGAATCGTTGGCATTTTTAGCTCACTCACCGACATTTCTCCCCATTAAAGTAAGCGCTCAGCGTCGCCTTTTTTTTCGTGTTTTCCTTTCCCTTTTCCAGTTAAACACAAACGTTATCGGCGTTTTTAAAACAACCCCTCGGAGTGGAAAAGCGATTAAAAAAGGGCGCGGAGGGTTTTCGCGTTCGACAGGCTGGGATTTTTTTTTGCGAGGCTGCTCTCGGTAGCGAGAGCCCCGCTTTCTAGACGTTTCTTCTGAGAAAGTTTTGGCGTGTCTTTAATGGAACCGTGAAAAGTTTGAAACGTGGCTGAAATGCCGAGCTCCTCCGCCCCGCTGCCGAGCCGCGGGGACCACAACCGAGCCGAGCACAGCCTGACTTACCCTCCCGGAGGGCTATAGGCGCCAACGGGCAACATTTGTGCCCGGTGTGTTGTTGTTTAGGGGTAAAAGAGGCTTTATTGTGTGTTTTTTTTTTCCGAACGAGCCCCTCTCGAGATCCCGCCCGCTTGGATATCACGAGTCAGTCTTATGTGTTTTGTTGCAGCCCTTGAAGGTTAACCTTACTGTAGTCTTGTTTCCCCCCCGCCTTTCTGTTTTTCTAAATATAAAGTAGACCTTATAGTGTTTGAATAGAGGCTAGCTTAAATTTGGCATGTGTGTTTAAAATGGCTAGAAAGAAGCCGTTTGTATACGTTCTTGTCGCCTCGGCTGAAGTCGCAGTTGCGTTTGGTTGAGCTCCTAACTTTTTTATGCTGTTTTTAAAAAACGTATTTTACTTTAAAATTGCACGTGCTAGTTGTTTAATTTTCAACTGTTTCTAAAAATCCATGCAAATTGAGCTTTTTCGGTTGCCGTATATTTCAGGTTCACATTAAATAAACAATGTTTTCTGCTATTTTTGAAAAATAATTATAAATAGACAGATTAGATTTGTTATTCTTAAAGGCAACACGGATATGAAATGAGGACCGTAGTTTTTTTTTTCCTAAGGTGTTTACAGGTTTGGTTCTGATTTCTTTTCCATGGCCAGTACCCATGTCAAATGGCGAAGTAAGCCGTACTAAATCCGCATCTGCGGGCAACAAAACACCAGCAGCCCCGCTGATTAATGATGCAGGCTTTTGCAACCTTATTTATTTTTAACCCGTTGGAAATTTATATTTCATGCGCCTCAAGTATTTATGGTGTATTGGTTTACAAGGCTGCTCGGCCAGTCGCCCAAAGCTTTGTCGCTTTACAGTTTGGAGAAAAAAAACAGCTGGGCGATCGAAATAAGAAAAAATAATAATAGGTCGTTGAAATTTCCCATCGCAGGGTCAGCGGGTTTTTTTTTATTTTTCACGGCGGTCGCGGAGCCCCCGGCCGGCCCTCTCCCGGCTGCTTCCCCGGGAAACGGAGCCTCCTGCCCGGGGAGCTGTGGGGGTGTAGAGCCGCTCTCACACCGCCCCACCGAACCGTAAAAATAAGTTAAAGCCGCGCATTCGGCTCTGTGTTCGGAAAACAACCGGAGCAGGTCGTCCGCTCTGACCCGAAACGCGCTGATATCCAGCCTGTAGTTTTTCAAGCGTTTTTCCAAACTGCGTCATTGCACGTATGGGCCGCCTTTTTAGCTGGAAAAACACAGGAGAAATCCAAAAAAACTATCAGTTTTCAACATTGTTGTTTTTGCCGTCGGGGTTGTGCGTCAAGTCAAGCCTGTCTTGTTGTGTTTTATAGGTCAGCAGTATGGCTGAAAAGGAGTCCGAATCGCCTGGGAAACTAAAGACATTATTATAGCCAGAACTGGCTTCTCCGGAACAAGGGGAGCGTATCCGAAAAAGGACGGTTTCTTTGAACAACTTCCCCCTCTGCGGATAATGGATGGCAGAGATTTTGGCCACCCCCGATCCGTCCACGTTCCACCGCCGCTGCTGGCGGGGCTCGCCATGGAGTCCCACCGGCTCGGAGCCGCTGCGGCCGGGAGGATCCCTCCCTCGCCCGGCCACTTGGGCGCGAGCCATCCGCCGTCTCTCCACTCTGGGAAATTTTTGCCCTCGGCCATTAACCTACATCCACATCATAGTAAGTGCACAGCGTTTTTTTTATTACTTACATTCTGCTCCACGGCAGCCCCCCCGCGAAATTCCTCTTAGAAAAGATGAATAACTTTAAATTAATGCGCTAAATCAAAATGCGCAGTTTGTGGCTGTGCGTGCGTGGCGGTGTCTTGGATGCATGGTTTTTAGATATGTTG